GAGATGGCCTCGGGCATCTCAGAATGGCCTCCAGGATGTCACAAGATAGCCCAAGAATGTCTCAGAATGGCCTCCAGGATGCTCAAGATGACCTCCAACATGCCTCGTAGAGATTCCAGCACTGCCCCCAAAAAGGGTTCCAGGCCACCACGGAGAATCCCGAGGACCCCCAAGGGAGCAATCAGAGGGGTCAAAGTTGCGACTTGTAGTGCTCCAGTTGGGCAGCGCTGATCGGCGCTGCTGAACCCCTTTTGGCCGATGTCCTCTAATATGGCCCCAAGAGGCCTCGAAAGACCCCAAACAGGGTATTGTACGCAGAGGCGTTCGTATTCTACGCAGAGGCTGCTGCATTGTACGCGAGCACCGAGGACCCTCCTGAAGCTACCTGAGCAGGCCCTTTGTCGTCGTCATCGCCGTCGTCGCCACGTTCCTCCCCCACCCTCCTCATTCTCCCACCTCCCTCGTCATCCTCCTTCGACGGCAGGCTCAAATCCATTCCTGGATATGCTCAGGCAGACTCCGGGCGTCGGCATACTGTATGCTCCTACATGTCCCTGGTCAGGACAACTCGCCTGGTAATCGTTTCTAGATGAGCTGGTGGGAATATGCGAAGCGTCCAGAACCCGTTCAAAGAGGGCCATCAGACAACCCCATGGCCCCCCAGGACTGTCCAGAGACACCCCGTGACATTTCCAAGACCATCTGGGGCCCTTGGACGTCTTTCAGCTCAGCGCAAAGCACAAAATGTTACGGTCTGCAGAAACGTCAGAGATAATCAATCAGGTATCAGTACGTCCCGATGGACACCGCTGTCACCACAACAGTAAGATGATGACGCCGACGTTGAATACTACCCTCGACATCCACCGACCCCGCTTGCCGTTAAAGGCGTGTGAGACATTTGGCTGTCCCCCTCCCCCTTTCCCCCTCCCCTGGGGTCCAACATATCATGCCAAGACAGTCGAAGAGAGCGTCATGACGGCCCAGGGTAGCCCCACGACGATCCAAGATGGCCTCAAGATGGCCCACGAGACCCCCAAGACAGTCCAAAAGCGCCTCCAGAGGATCGGCGATAGGGCCCCAAGAGGTCAAAATCATCCCATTCCCTTCGAAAAACTTACATGTTCCGCACATTCGCATTTTACGCTTCAACAGCGACAGCGAACACGACGGCCCAAGTGTCCCCCAAGATCGTCCTAAGACAGCCCCAGGGGCTCCCCCGGAGGGCCCCAAGAGGGCTCCAAGAAAGCCCAAGAGGGGCAATACGAACTGACATCTCGAGCATTTCCCCGGAGGCCCCCGAAGGCCCTCCAAGAGGCCCCAAGAGGCATCCAAGACGCCCCCAAAGAAGCCCCCAGAGGCCCCCACGAGGCCCCAAAAAGGCTCCCACACGCCCCCAGTAGGTACTCCAGGGGGCCCCAGAGGGGCATCCCGAGAAACCTTCAGGTTCATCCAGGAGAGGCTCCTGACCCAGGATATCAATTCCACGATCGTCTCAAACACTCACTCCTCGTGGGGGTCGGCGGAATGGCGCAAGCCACTCGAAGAACTGCGCTCGAGGCTCTCACTGTGGCCGTCAAGAGCTGCCCCGTGGGTTGGCCCACCCCCCGGGAGCTCGTCGCTGCCCGCGGGCCCCGACTGACCCTGCCGCGATGGCGACATCGAGGGCCACATCGTCGGGCTGAGGCCGATGCGCAGGCCCACGCGGACATGCTTTCGGGATGGGACGCTCTCCCGCCTGGCCCGCTGGGTCGCTCCCTGCATACACCCCCCCTTGCAAATGCAGAAGTAGCACCAGCAGCACGAGTCAGAGCATGAGGGCGAAGGGGACGAGGAAAGCGCAGAAAGAGGCGCAGAATCCAAGGGGAGAAGAAAAGGGATGACAGCACGAGGTAAAACAGAAATCATCGATACAACAGCGGGATCGGAGGCCCAGCCGTGTGAGCATCCTGCTGGAAGTCCCATATGTACTCGGCGGGTGCGAGAATGCGCACATGTAGGTCCATCGCAGTCTGCACCACGATCGGGAAAACGATGATGTCGGTGGCCGCCCGGTCCATACTGCGGGGTGGCAACAAAGCACACTCGAACAAATAAAAAAGCACTGCGAAGAACATGGCTTAGCTTTGAAGTGGTCTGGAATTCCCGACATGAGGGCGAGAGGAACGGGCGCAAAGGAGCGGAGTAGGAACAGGAATGGGGGGGTACGCAGACTAAGAGTACGAAAAGGAGCAGCAGAAGTACGCCGAGGAGCTGTAATGGCAGGAGCAGGCAAGCCAGCTCGAACGAGTCAACGACCCGCGCACGCCACCCTCTTCCCCAGGACATCGAAATCAGTGTTGGCACACGTGGATACTGGGAGTGGCGCTCGGCCACGTTCAGCGAACGGAATGCGTTTGCGCGCACCCCCGCTTCCGTCGGCTTACAAAATGGAAAAACTGACAAAAAAAACAAAACAAAAAAACGAAACAAAAAAAAAAAAAAAAAAAAAAAAAAAAAAAAAACGGGCCGCGCAGAAGCCGCAACAGAAGTGCAAAAAAAATCTCAATTCAGCGATGTCCTGTCGCGCGCGGTCATAGTTCAGCCAGGAGTGGTGAAGACAAAACGTGCGCCACGATGAAGCAACGGCGCCATTTTCAAGCGACACCTGTGCGGCATCTTGGCAAAAGAAATGTTGGCCCCGCTCGCGCGAGGTCCCGCCTCCGCTTTCCAATGGCCCATCGAAAAAGCAGCAATCGCCGCGCCCAAGCGGGAACTCCGCTCTGAGGCAACGTCTGCACGGCGCCTGGCCGACAACCACGTTTGACACGCTCGCGCGCGGCCCGGCCCCCAACGATTCGACAAACGAAAAATATGTGGCGAGACCAATCTTCACGCGAAATATATGTGATTGGGCGCGAGAGATAGAATTCGCCTGTTTGTGATGGGCCGATTCTCCACCACCACTACCACAGGTAGGTGAGGGAGGAGGAGGGGAAGGGGGACGAGGAGGAGGAAGAGGAGGAGGAGGACGACGACGACGACGACGAGCACAAGGGAGAGAAGGAGGAGGAGGAGGAGGACCTCCCCATCTTGCCTTGTCCCCCATGCTACTTTTGATAGCGGTGGCGGGGAATTGTCCCATCAGTTTGCGCGCGACCCCGTTGACAACAAACTGCCGCATGGAAAACAGCGCCGCGCATCCATGGGAGCGCAGGTTTCAAAAAATACGCGGGACGACGCAGAAACTGCGTGTAACCCTTCCGCGCGCGACATGCGCCGCGACGCATTCACACCACATTTCTGCAACCCCCACGACAAATCGTCAATTTTGAAAAGAACAGCGTTGACATTTTGTTTTGTTAGCAAGATGGATGGCCCAGATGCGCGGGACATGGGCCGGCTAGGTGGCAGGCCATTCAACCCTCGCGCGCGCGCTGCCACTTGTCCGGCAGGAACGGCGCAGACGACCCATGTGACGCGTCCAGACCCGAGCGCCACTATTAAGCGAAATTGGAGCGTCGCTCGGGCAAGGGCGACAATTCGCCCGCTCGCACGCCACCGCACCCACGCGGGAACGCCACATTCTGGCGAAACCTGCCCAGCTCTTGACAGCGAACGACAATTGGCCCGCTCACGCGCGACCGCGCCGCCGACGAGCTGGCGGACAACAAATTCGCCGCGGCCAGACATGGGAGCGCCATTTTGCGCGAGAGCCGCTCCGGAGGCGACATGCGCAGCTGATTTTCTCGCGGAATTGGGTGAAAGCGGCATTTTGTCCGATTGCGCAAAACCCAGCCGCCGACAGGTTTTGGGCAGGTCGATTCCGTTGTCTGCAGAAATATTACCCACATGAGTTCGGGCCGTAGGCCGGCAAACAACCTGGAAGTGTCCCGCGTGCTAGTTTGGAGCCGACCCCGCCAGACCAACCCCACTGTTCAGCTCATCCCTGTCCTCATTGGTCTGGACGCGGCGCGCTGATGTCGGCCGGCCTGTCGCTGAATTCCGACGCGACGTTCGCGCGGTTCGCGATGGTCCGGCTGCCAGAGCCGAACAACATCGACAGCCCCCCACACCGCTCGGCGCGGCATGACTGCTCGATGTGGATGCCGATCGCGGTGGGCGAGACGGTTTTGCGCAGCCCATCTGGGCCGTTCTGCGCGCGCGCCCACAAAACACCATCGCCCACGCGCACAACGTCGGCGCTCCACTTGCCAGTCACGGCAGCGAGCTCAAGGCCAGCGCTTGCGACGAAGACTTCTACAATGATACCAAAGAATTATCCCAGTCCGACCATACCTAGGAGTTAGAGCCTCTAGGAAAGCAACATTAGTAGAAGCGGTAAACGCTGTCCTCCTCCTTCTCCTCATCGTCGTAGTTATAGCAGTAGCAGTAGCGGTAGTAGTAGTAGTAGTAGTAGTAGTAGTAGTAGTAGTAGTAGTAGTAGTAGTAGTAGTAGTAGTAGTAGTAGTAGTAGTAGTAGTAGTAGTAGTAGTAGTAGTAGTAGTAGTAGTAGTAGTAGTAGTAGTAGTAGTAGTAGTAGTAGTAGTAGTAGTAGTAGTAGTAGTAGTAGTAGTAGTAGTAGAGTAGTAGTAGCAGTAGTAGTAGCAGTAGTAGTAGCAGTAGTAGTAGTAGTAGTCGTAGTAGTAGTAGTAGTAGTAGTAGTAGTAGTAGTAGTAGTAGTAGTAGTAGTAGTAGTAGTAGTAGTAGTAGTAGTAGTAGTAGTAGTAGCGCCAGAACCACCGACGCCACGACGTAAGTGAAGCAGCAGCAGAAGCAGGCAGCAAGTCGCCAGGACAGCAACAAAAGAAAGCAGGCACGGAGATGAGGGCGGGGCACTTGGGAGTTCTTTCATCTACATCTATATCTACACCTATATCTACATCGGCACCTACATCTACATCTAGACCTACATCTACATCTACACCTACAGCTACATCTACATCTACACCTGCATCTACATCTACATCTACATCAACAGCGAGACTCACATTTACATATACAGCTACACCTACATCTGAACATACATCTACATCTACATCCAATCTACATCTACCTCTACATCTACACCTACATCCACATCTACACCTACACCTACATCTACATCTACATCTACACTTTCGCTTTGGTTTTGTGTTTGCTTTGCATTGCCTTTGCTTTTGCTCTTGCCTTTGCTTCTGCCTTTGCCTTTGCTTTTGCTTTTGATGTTGCTGTTGCTTTTGCTTTACTGTTGTTTTTGCGTTTGCTTGGTTTTGTTTTTGCTTTGCCTGCGCACAGACACACAAACGCATGTTTTTGCATTCGCTCACCTGGTGTGCTTCAGAATGCTCCAGATCCGGCCTACACCGCACGACTTGGCATTGAGCAAGGTTGTGCAACACTTGCTACACCGAACGTTCCTACGACACTGGATGCTGTGCTGCGCTGCGCTATGCCATGCTATGCTATGCTATGGTATGCTATGCCATGCTATGCTATGCTGCAATAGTGGATGCTGTGATGTGCTGTGCAATGCTATGCTATGCTATGCTATGCTGCGTTATGATATGCTATGCTATAATATGCTACGCTATGCTATGCTATGCTATGCTATGCTGCGCAATGCTATGCTGGGCTAGGCTAGGCTATGCTATGCTATGCTGCGCTATGCTATGCTGCGCTATGCTGCGCCATGCTCTGCTATGCTATGCTATGCTTTTGCTTTGCCTTCGTTTTTGCCTTCACTTTTACCTTTGTTGTTGCTTTTGCTTGACACCCAGGGAGCGCAACTGGGGGAACCGCGCGTTTGCTTTTACCTTTGCTGCTGCTTCTGCTTGGCTCCCAGGGGACTGGGGGAACCGCCCGGGGCGGTTTCCACTGCCCGGCCCCTTTAAGCCAACAGAGTAAGAACCTTTCTAGGCAGAGCCTAGGTAGGGAAAAAAACAAATCATAATCACTGCAGGGTTTCAGGACTATGGGGCTTTAGGGTTATAGGGTTGTCGGGCTCTAGGGCTCTAGGGTTATAGGGGCCATAGGGGCCATAGGGGCCATAGGGCTTATAGGGCGATTGGGCGATTGGGCGATTGGGCTAAAGGCTATGGGTCTAAAGGGCTATACGGCTACCGGGATGTATGGATATAGGGCTATGGGGCTATAGGGCTATATGGCTATAGGGCTATCAAACTATTGGACTCTAGGGATATAGGCCTATAGGTTCAGACATAGGACTATGGGGCTATGGGCCTATAGGGCTATAGGCCTATAGGCCTATAGGGCTATAAGACTATAAGGCCATAGGCCTGTAGAGCGACAAGGCTACCCGGCACCTGGGCACCCGGGCGCGCCGCCGAAGGTGCCGCCACACCTCATCTAACCATATAAATCCGCTAGGACCCCTACAGAAGCAGGCTCTGATTGGATAGAATCCAATGTTACAGGGCGTCCGGGGACCCCGCGGGCGCTCGCTGGTCTCGGGTGTTCTCCGCTTCCTACGCCTCACGGGACAGGCCCCCACTCCATCGCCTGCCTGTCAGCCTCACGCCGCTGGTGCTGGAGAAGACAATGTTCCCATGACGCGCACTTCCCCATGGCCCCCAACGTCGAAAGATAAGGCTTCGCCCATCCCTGAGGCGCGACGAGTTTGACACAATGGTTCAGGCCGACCAGCCCAGACGGCATCCTCGGCGCGCCGGCGCACCGTGCACGCCAACTGCACCGGACGATCTGCACGGCCGACCCCCCCCGCGCAAACCGCACAAACGGTTTCGTTGCCGCTGAAGTGCAACAGAACCACGGAAAGGGGCCGGACCTAGTCCCGTCTGTTGATGGGGAACCGCCATCCTCGAATAGCGAGTCGCCGCGCCGATGGCCGTCGACCTTTCCCTTCCCGTTTGCAAAAAGGGCCCAGGGAGGGAAACGCAAACAACAATGTTCTCATTATTCCTGGATTGTCGTCTGAAACTAGGCCCACCACCTGTGGGGAGGGGAAGAGACCGAATGCGGGCGCGCCCTCTGGGGCACCCCCAGCTGTCGCCGCGATACAAGTGCCAGGAGGGGGCGCACTGTCGCTCGCATCTTCTGCCTCTACAACGACGTTGCCCAAG